AAAACGACCTTGTTATGAGGGCATGTTTTAGCATACACAAATTCTCTCTCACCATATACTTTCCATATCTTTTCTGTATTCTAGATGGAATCAGTGACCATTGTCCGAGTGGTCCAATTACAACGACCTTGTTATGAGGACATGTTTATAGCATACACACATTCTCTCTCATACTCTCTATATCTTTTCTGTATTCTAGATGGTTAATCAATCAGTGACCATTGTCCGAGTGGTCCAATTACAACGACCTTGTTATGAGGACATGTTTATAGCATACACACATTCTCTCTCATACTCTCTATATCTTTTCTGTACTCTAGATGGTTAATCAATCGGTGACCATTGTCCGAGTGGTCCAATTACAACGACCTTGTTATGAGGACATGTTTATAGCATACACACATTCTCTCTCATACTCTCTATATCTTTTCTGTATTTTAGATGGTTAATCAATCAGTGACCATTGTCCGAGTGGTTCAATTACAACGACCTTGTTATGAGGACATGTTTATAGCATACACTCACTCTCTCTCATACTCTCTATATATTTTCTTTATCAGTGACCATTTTCCGAGTGGTCCAATTACAACGACCTTGTTATGAGGACATGTTTATAGCATACACACACACTCTCTCTCACACTCTCTATATATTTTCTTTATTATAGATGGTTAATTAATCAGTGACCATTGTCCGAGTGGTCCAATTACAATGACCTTGTTATGAGGACATGTTTATAGCATACACACACTCTCTCTCACCATATACTCTCCATATCTTTTCTGTATTCTAGATGGAATCAGTGACGATTGTCCGAGTGGTCCAATTAAAACGACCTTGTTATGAGGGCATGTTTTAGCATACACACATTCTCTCTCACCATATACTCTCCATATCTTTTCTGTATTCTAGATGGAATCAGTGACCATTGTCCGAGTGGTCCAATTACAACGACCTTGTTATGAGGACATGTTTATAGCATACACACAATCTCTCTCATACTCTGTATATCTTTTCTGTATTCTAGATGGTTAATCAATCAGTGATCATTGTCCGAGTGGTCCAATTACAACGACCTTGTTATGAGGGCATGTTTATAGCATACACACATTCTCTCTCACCATATACTCTCCATATCTTTTCTGTATTCTAGATGGAATCAGTGACGATTGTCCGAGTGGTCCAATTAAAACGACCTTGTTATGAGGGCATGTTTTAGCATACACACATTCTCTCTCACCATATACTCTCCATATCTTTTCTGTATTCTAGATGGAATCAGTGACCATTGTCCGAGTGGTCCAATTACAACGACCTTGTTATGAGGACATGTTTATAGCATACACACATTCTCTCTCATACTCTCTATATCTTTTCTGTATTCTAGATGGTTAATCAATCAGTGACCATTGTCCGAGTGGTCCAATTACAACGACCTTGTTATGAGGACATGTTTATAGCATACACACATTCTCTCTCATACTCTCTATATCTTTTCTGTACTCTAGATGGTTAATCAATCGGTGACCATTGTCCGAGTGGTCCAATTACAACGACCTTGTTATGAGGACATGTTTATAGCATACACACATTCTCTCTCATACTCTCTATATCTTTTCTGTATTTTAGATGGTTAATCAATCAGTGACCATTGTCCGAGTGGTTCAATTACAACGACCTTGTTATGAGGACATGTTTATAGCATACACTCACTCTCACTCATACTCTCTATATATTTTCTTTATCAGTGACCATTTTCCGAGTGGTCCAATTACAACGACCTTGTTATGAGGACATGTTTATAGCATACACACACACTCTCTCTCACACTCTCTATATATTTTCTTTATTATAGATGGTTAATTAATCAGTGACCATTGTCCGAGTGGTCCAATTACAATGACCTTGTTATGAGGACATGTTTATAGCATACACACACACTCTCTCTCATACTCTCTATATATTTTCTTTATTATAGATGGTTAATCAATCAGTGACCATTGTCCGAGTGGTCCAATTACAACGACCTTGTTATGAGGACATGTTTATAGCATACACACACTCTCTCTCACCATATACTCTCTATATCTTTTCTGTATTCTAGATGGTTAATTAATCAGTGACCATTGTCCGAGTGGTCCAATTACAACGACCTTGTTATGAGGACATGTTTATAGCATACAAACATTCTCTCTCACTATATACTCTCTATATCTTTTCTGTATTCTAGATGGTTAATCAATCAGTGGCCATTGTCCGAGTGGTCCAATTACATCGACCTTGTTATGAGGACATGTTTATAGCATACACACATTCTCCCTCATACTCTCTATATCTTTTCTCTATTCTAGAAGGTTAATTAATCAGTGACCATTGTCCGAGTGGTCCAATTACAACGACCTTGTTATGAGGACATGTTTATAGCATACACACATTCTCTCTCACCATATACTCTCTATATCTTGTCTGTAAACATTAACTGTACTCTATAAGGTTAGTTAATCAGTGACCATTGTACAAGCTATCCAATTACAACTACCTTGTTATGAAAACATGTTTATAGCATACACAAACACTCTATCTCTTACCTTTTCAGTAACTATTAACTGTATTCTAGATGGTTAATTAATCAGTGGCTATTGTCCGAGGGGTCCAAATACAATGACCTTGTTATGAGGACTTGTTTATAGCATACACACACACACACACTCTCTCTCGCCCTCTCAACTTTTTTATATTTGCTCTTAACATCAGTAAATAAATAAATTAGTAAGTTGACATATTTTACTCTAACGTTTCTATTTATTTGAAAGATCACCTCTATTTCTTTCATCTTGTATAGGCCAGTAGTATATAATGTATGGTCAACGACGAAATGGAATTAAACAGATTTGCTAACTAAGCCTTGAAGGCAAATTGGACATTAAGGGGTGGCATTTAAAAGTGTTATCGTTAAAATCGATTGGAGTTGGCAAAACATGGCCATTATAACTGCTCTTTTCCTTTACACTGCCTTGCCAGACAGAACGGGCCCTCGGCCAGATGGGTTAGGAATGGATTTATCTGATTGAGCATTCCGATTTGGTCAATGTAAGTAAAGAAATAAAAAAAAATAATAAGCGGTGGGGAAAAGGTCCAACCATATTAAAAATGCTCGTTATTTGCCTAATACATGTAATCAGACGATGTTAAGTTACATGTAAAACTTAAGTATTTTAATTACAAAAGTACAATGACATATATGTATATTTTAATGTTTATGCAATGTCAAATACTGAAACTAAAACTTTTGTTATAGATTGATTTTAATTGATTTAAAATTCTTCTCGCCAATGGCTATCTGTTATATTATTAAACTGACACAGTCAAATCTGTGGTAGTTGTTTAAGGTCATCAAACAAATAAAAATATAGGCATAATGGTACACCAAAATAAAAATGTCAGTGTGTAGATTGGTATAATTTATTACAAACGATTTTCCCAACACCTCTGCCCCACAGGCCGATATCCTAACATATAGTGACAGTATTTTTAAACTCGCAAGGCCTACACGTACTAAGTTGCCTAGGAAATGTAAACTCCTTACCTGAGTTTTTTTTTTTATTTTTTATTATAAAGGCCAAATATTAAAATTATTAGTTTTTTCACATACAATTAATAATGAATGAATTTTATACGCCAGGTATAAAGAACCGCAATATTCTCTCGCTTCCTCTTCCCGTTCCGAAAGCACGAAGCAGCTCGTATATTTATAAACTTGTAATAGTTGGATGATTGTGAGCTTTTTTTATATTCTCATAATTTTAAGCGTTTTATTATTTCAAATAGTTCTTGTTATTACCCAAATTACGCACACTACCTGTACACACACTCCAACCTACACGTTTTTACGTGTTAACGTTTTTAACACATATTTCTCGCTTTTTCCTTAGTTATTAAGTTATGAATTGTATCTTGATTCTGTTATTTTTGATTAGGTTTGCAGAATTTTTACTATCATAACAATTAGTTTCACTTTGTTTTGGTTATTCAGTGATGTTGAAAGAAATTATGTAGATAATACTAGGTTTTCCTTAAGATACCTAATAGTCCCTAATGCAGTTATTTTTTGTCTGATATGTATATTTTCTGTTTGAGTACTTCTTCCGCTCGAAGACACCTTTACTGTGGTTTGAATTTGTAATGGTAATCCCACACAAGAAACAGCCTTTGTTTTTACATTGCTAATTACGGAATTATTAATAAGTAGCCTATTTTGTTTCATAAATTAAGCACAGTCTAAGTTTAGTTCAGTATCTGAATTATGTAAGTCTAAGCTTAATACAATGTGTATTTTATGTAATGTCTGCCTAAATGTTAGCGAAATAAATTTAAATTCGAGTTCAAATTTAATTGAAATAATTTATATGTCGTTTAAGCTTTGTCCAATAATTTCGATCCTGCGATCCTGAAATACTTAAGCAGAGTTCCAAGAGCAAGTAATCAAGTTTAGTTGGTTGATGGTGTCCACGAGACAATCCTGTTTGTCCAATCATTGTCTAAGAGCCAATTAATTGCTACTTTAGTCGCTCCAAGCCAACAAGTACCTGTGGTGACCTAACAGGGCAAATCTCTGTATAACAAGAACTCCTTACTTGGGTATCTACTTGGGTGTTGCGGATAATATTTCTATTCTTAAACTGAATCATATTGACATATTCGTGCTCCAATATGAAAATAATACCTTAGAATATACCTGTATGTGTACTACTCAAGCTTTTTTGTTGCGTTTATAGTTTCTATTTCTTTTTTTTAAGGAGGAGGTAAAAAAATGCATGTTGTTTTGTTGCAGTTCAAGGTTAAACCGGCCCTGCTACCCAATAAAAGTATATTAAATTCATGGTTTGTTTTAAAGGTTAGACTGGCACGACAACGACATGACTACATATAATAATGCTGTGCTGTTGCAAGGTTAGATTGGTGGTTTTACACGACGAGATAGTAACGATGTGTTTTTGCAGGGCGAGAGCGGGTTAGCAGAACCCGACTCTACTCGGGCCAAGGATATGACTGCCATTAACTCGGTAAGTTGGTTCCACACCTTTGTCGTTGTCTTTATACCTTCCAATATATATGCATGAACAATATTCTCTCTGTAAGGTGATGTCGCTTGGAAGGTAAAGTTAAGATTTTCCATATAGTACTTTCATTTATTTTAAGAGCAAACTATTATTTGTTTTTAATACAAATCATTAAGGAGTCCTTGTAGGCTACCTGTCATCTTGGATAATTTTAAACAGCTGCTGAAGATTTATTTATCATCTCAAATAAATTCCCAAACACTGAAGTGATTAAAATGAAATATCTAGTAAACTGTGAGGTTAGAAAAGTCCTTTGTGGTTTTTAATGGTTTTCTAAGGGAGTCCATGGAAGCTAACGGGCCATCTTGGATTTGCTCGCCATAAGGACAATGTTAATTTCGTTAACAGCCGCTGAAGCGTTATTTACCATCTCAAAACATTTTTTCAAACACTAGGGTGATTGTAATTTAAATATCTAGTATACTGTGGGATTAGAAATTTTCTTTGTAGATTTTGCAATTGTTAACGACTTAGAACATCTAGGCTCCTAGGACATTTTGATTACATTTGCACAGTACCCGTTCATTCTTTTGCATCACTTGTATTTGACATTTTGATCCAAAACAGTTTTGTGATATTTTTTCGGCGTATGTCTATGCCAGAGGCATTTTAATAAAACAAATGATGGTATAATATCTTTTTTTGGAAAACCTAATACCATAAATAATTAATGTTATGTCGTGGATGACGATTGAAATCACTATTGATTATTAACGTTAACGATATTTAGTGTTTCCCATAGGGTGGTTTTTGGCACTTAGGGAGGGAAAGTATAAGTCACTCTTGTCTATACTTACAGTAGACAGTGAGAGAAGTTTTAGGTGTCCCTAAGTAAAACTTTGATATATTTAAATGTCTTCAACATAAGTTGTAGGGATAGCGCCACGCCGGAGGAAGTTCAGGCCCTCCTGAGAAGTATAAATAAAAGAAAGATCCAACTGTCGAATTCTGCCTTTCAAAGTCGCGCCCTTAGGGAAATTATTCTTTGTGAAGAGCGAAGCTAGTCTCAAACCAAATAAATGACTCTAGTGCTGCCCATTGGCCTCTCTTAAAGATACTTTGCATGCCTTCATAGATATTGAGATATTGAGGAATACTATCACCTTGCATACGTATTGATCGGGACTTTCTTTAAAGTCCCGATCAATACGTATCTGTCTACAACGTATCTGTCTGTACGTACGTGTCTTTACAAGGAGTTTTGTTTTAGATTTATGATTAGTTCTTAGTAAAGTTATCCACCAATATGATCAATCATCTCATCGTTCTGCTCAAAGACGGGCGTATTTTTTTCTAATTAGTTTTCCACAAAATGAGTTACTTCATTTTGGCGTGTGTATTCTTAAACATGTGTGGATAGGAATTATATTTCACAAAGTAATGATGAAATCAAAACGTGCCCTTTATAAATATAAAACAACATTGCACTTTACAAAACCCTAGTTTGGCAGACATACTCTCTCTTAGAAAATATTCTATAGCGAACGTTAATTGGTGGTCATTGAGAACATATACGAAAAAACATAAACCAATGCACCAAAACCGCATAAGTAGATGTTGTTCCCATGAGTACAAATTATTGTTATTAAAAGTATGCATAGTTTACAAACTTAAAATATTTGGTGTGGTTTGAATGCGTGAGTCCAAAGCCTGTATATTACCTACTTAGATGTATTTCACAACTATTTAAAAGGTCTTACGACATGCTTGTCTACGCGGTCTTGGAGCTGAGCCTGAGGTAATGGACCAGTATTTTGTCGGCGTTGAGAGCACGATAACTCTCGCTCTCTCCCCAATTTTATTTATCGTTCCCTTAGTTTGTGGGAGCTATTTATTATGGACCACCCCTTTTCTCCGATATTTAAGTTTTGTAATGTGTTAAACGATGTAATTTGTAGAATGTCAATTAATTTATGTATTTAGATATTCAAGTATTATAAATATATGTATTTTGTGTGAGCTATTTTGATTGCAAGTTTTGGATTTCAAAAATACACTGACGGAGAAGGTTGTGACTTTGTGGAGTTCAAATACAGCAATGGCTTATATGTCATCAAATGTATGGAATCAATGCTCTATGTGGTCTATAAAAAGACACCGAATTGCAATTAAAACTAACTTTAGTGATTTCCCCGTATAAACTTTGGTCTCATGGTAAGACCTGGACCCTGGCCTGGTTTACTTTTCCGTTTTGATATCCCCATTGGCCAAAACACCATTTGTTCAAATGCATAAGTGTGTGCGTCTAAACCTACGTTTATTCGACCACATTCGGAAACCAAAATGATCGAACTATGAGAATATTGGGAATGGGGACAAAAATGGGGTTTCCAAATTTTCCCCATCAAACTATGATATTATATTTTCTTTGTAAATCGTTTTGAAGAGCTTTCAAAATAAATAACATAATAAAAACAAACTTATTTTTTTTGTAGCAGTCTTTTTCTTTTGTTGAACTTAATTTTTTTAGGCAGGGAATAAATATGACGAGTTTAAAGAAATGTTTTATTGAAAACCTAATCAGACAAATGGAAATTCAGTTTTCAGGTTTGCTGGGGCGGGAATATTTTGAAGTATTTGAAAATACTTTAAAATTAGTATTTTAAACTTACAATGAAATGTCTTTTCATTCTATGTACAAACTAATCCGCAATGCCAGCAAAATATATGCAAAAAATCAACAAATGTAAAGGATTTAGCTATTTAACTCGTTATTATGGCAGTTGAAAATATAAGACGGCACTACACCGCAATCGAGCTACTTGGATGTGTTGCGAATGTTACCTATCTTAAAATTGAAGGCGAAATCCAATGAGAAGGCGGATACGGCTTTATCGTCATTTCAGAAAACTGATCACTTTTAAAATAACTTGTGTTTCTATTAAAAATATGTTATACAATTTTGGTTATACATTTATGATACACGTACGACCTTCAAACCATAAACCTTATATTATAATCACACCATCACATAACGAAGCACGAGCTGTGTTTATAATATGCTACATTTTCGAGTTAAGCCGTACTCTGGAATAGAAGAGCTTAAATATTGAACAATTCTAGATATCATTCTCGTTTCATTTGTTTGTATATAACCTTTGGTGAATTAACACTCATTCGGTTGTGTGTATTCAGAAAATACTTAAACAAGAGCTTCTGAATAAACAGCAAACAATTGTTCAATTGTTCATTGCTCGTATAAATTATTTGCTCTCGAATTGCAGTATATTATATAGTTTCTCCACGTTTAATAAACAATACTGTTCTGCTCATAAATTGTAATGGAAGTTTGTGCAGAACATGCAAATACCCAGTTAATTGAAGGCCTTATTGTTATTCAATAAATATTAATAACACTTAACGATAAGCATACAACATACCTAACGTGAAATACTAATCCTACATTTGTTTTATAAGGTAGTATAACTGAGAAAAATCATTGAGGATAACATGACTAAAGCTTGTCAATATGAGGTTTTAAATAAAAATAATTACATATTCTCACGGTTTTGCTCATCATAGTAAATGATTACAAGAAGTTTAGCAAGTAAATCATTTAATTTAGAAACCCCTGGGAAAATTGACATAACAGAAAACTATACAGAACTAAAGTAAAAACAAATTATTATACAGACAATTAATTTATAAGATAATACCTTTATGAAATATAACTGTACTAAACTTCCTACCTCTAACAATCATAATAAAAGTAAAAAGGTCTTTATCTCCAGTTGAACATTTTCTTTAAAACGTCTTAAAATTTTCAGACATTTTAGGTGTATACGACATGGTGTATACCATTAGGTGTATACCATTGGTAAGATAACAATGGTAGTTAGTTCATTTTACTGTAGGTATGAACCAATGGATGAGTAAAGTTCACAACGCCAAGATATAAGATAAAGCTAGAATTCCATACAAATTCAATTTGTTGGTTTCTTTAGCTTTATCTGTGCCATGGGTAGCATTTTACTCAGCTCCAGATATGCAGATGAGCTGTCAGTATAAATCTAAAGGGCTTTGTATGCTGGCCGCTCGCACACATACATTATATATGGCAGCCACGACCGGCGAGAGCTGTATTTATTGTACCCACAGTCTGCTGGTTCGATTGAAAATTTGGGGGGAAACCAACCTTTACCTACGACAGTTTAATATGTATGGAGATGTAGTACGCTTTTTAAGGTAAACTGTTTTAAAATAAATTTTAACGTGTACCAAATAATAGCAGACCAGCGACCCCGCTATCCATTCAGTTTGGGCGAGATGAAATGATTTTAGAGAATTAAGATAGCTTCATTAGCGTTTGTGTGTGTATAATTTAATCAAGATTAGAACAAAATTATACAAGCTATCGTGTTGACGAACTTACACGCACATACTTAAAGAAATTTTAATAATGCAAAAACTATTTGTGGTGTTAATAAATTCGACTCAGCTACTTCACTGTTTCAGTACTTAGACGTAATGCAGCTAGAGAAAATATATTTATATTCAATTTTATGTTATTATAAAAAGTTTAGTAGTTTATTTTGAACAGTTGTTGTGAATAGGAATGTGAGAAACTATACTAAGGGTATGCTTGTGATACCACCCGTTATGAAAGATACAAGAAGGTTACAGTGTTACCATAAAGTAGTAAAATGTTTTAACTTAAACTTTGGAGTGCTCAACAATATACAGGATTTGAAAATTGAATTGTATAAAAGGAAAATAAAGGAATTGATAAAAAACGACTCAACCAAACAAAGTAAAACAATGATTTAACAAATGTATACAGTTAAACGATTTGTGAATATAAGATAGTATGCGAGAGTGAGTAGCTAGTGAAGTGACGAACCATAAGTGTTACAGGAGAAAAAAATCCATATATATATATATATATATATTAGGTATTAGTGACAGTGACTTATTAAAATGGACCTACTCGAGACTGTTTATGT